AGTAGTGGGGGAGGGAGGTTTTGGGGTAGGGGGGGAATATTTTGAGGAACTTTAAAATGTTAAGGAAAAGAAAGGGAGGCAGTAATTCATGCACGGTCGGGGAGGTAACCATCTTTTAGGGGAAAAAGGCAGAATGTAAGTGGGGGGGGAGGTAGTGAGGCTTTAGAAAAATGAAAGGGTTAAGCAGTGGAATGATGGATCATGACAAAAAATTTTAAAAAAGGGGGGGGGGATATATTTTGGAGTGGTTGGGATTTTTGTTTAAAAAATGTATGAAAGAGGGGAAGGTCCCTAGGGTTGGCAGAGGATGTATAGCCCCTTTTTAATAAAGGGAAAGGGGACAAAGAGACTGAAAAAATTATAGAGGAATAAGCTTTTCTGAGTATACCGGAAAAATGTTCGGTTTTGGGTTAAATTGAAAAAATTAGAGGGAAGACGGAATGTAGGATTGCGGATGGCAAAGGGGGTTTTTGGTGGGTAGGGGGTGTGAGATCAGGGGGTTTTCATGAGCATAATGTTAACGTATTTAGTAAAGATAGGGAAGTTTTTATTTCATTATGGATTTTAAAAAGGGATATTAGAGTGGATAGAGGGCAATGGCAGGGTGTTGCAAATTATGGAAAAAGGGGGGGGTAAATTATTTAAAAGCTTAAGAGTTTTTTTGAGGTGGAGGTAGGTTAGGGGGTGTTGAAAAGGGGGGAAAACACTTCCCCGGGAAAATAGGGCTTAGACGGGATGTTAATGCAATGGTTGTTTAAAAATATTTATTTGGGGGGGTTTTAAAGGAAGTAAATGCTAGGGTTTTTGGGAGGGGTGGGATTAAATTAGGGGGAATCAAAATTTAAAATGGGAAATTTACACAGTTACTTTTGCTGAGATATGTGCTTTTGGGAGTCTAAAAAAAAAATTGCAAGGTTAGTGGAAAAAGTTTGGGAATGTGTGTAAAGGGAGAAAATTGAAAGTGAAAAAAAGAAAAGAGTAAGGGTGAGGGTGTCAAATGATTTAGATAAAGAAAAAATTTGGGTTCAAATTGGGGGGGGGGTATGGAAAAAAGTAAAGTTTTCAGATACTTGGGATTGAGTTTTTCGGGGGATGGATTTATGAAGGATGAGGTAATCTAGAATTTATGAGGGAAAAAAAAGTTAGTGGGCGTTGAGGTTAGTGGAGTCAAAAAACGTTTATCTAGGGGGCAAAGAAGGGAATTTATAAAGTATAGTAGACCAACATTTTTAAAAGGTTGGGAAACTGGGGGGTAAATGCGCACGAGGAGACGGTTGGGGGGCGGAGAGTCCGTTTAAGGGGAATGTGTGTGTAAATTTTTTTATGCAGAAAATTCGGGAGTGTGGGGAAAATTTGGAGAAGGTGTGGGGTTAATAAAAGTATTTTCGAGGGGAGAAGAGGGGTTTTTGAGGTGGGTTTGGTTTTGAGAGAATGGTCACAAATAGAATGACAGGAAAAAATATAAATCTATAGGGGAAGGCGGGGTAAGGGGGGTCCCGAAAGGGTTGGGGGGGGGGTTAAAGGGGGTTTTGTGGGTAAGGGGGTTGGATTCCCGCAAAACGGCTGGCGTTTAGATAGGGTGAATGGAGACAATGGCTTGGGGCCCGACACGTTTTGGGGGGTGAGCAGGGTAAAATTTAGTGAAAGGGATTCAGGGAAACCCGGGTTTTTTTCATATAGTCGGGCTTGAGTCCTGGGAAAAGGAATACAATGCCTCACTTTAAAGGAGGGGGTTTGGGTATTGGCAGTTTGGGGGATATGTTGTGTATCTTTATATTTTGTTCTAGATGTTGTATTTGAGACCCCCTGCAAAAAAAAGTGATAATGGCGAGTGTGGTGAAAGTGTTTTTAATTTATGAGAAAATATTTTCTTTTTGGGGGGTTTTCTTTCTTTTTTTTTGGTCACCCTGCCTCGGGGGGAGCGGCCCCCACTTTTTGAAAAAAAAAAAAAAAAAAAAAAAAATATATATATATATATATTATATATATATATATATATAATTATATATATATATATAGATATATATATATATATTATATATATATATATAATATTATATATATATATATATATTATATATATATATATATATATATATAATATATATATATATATATATATATATATATATATATATATATATAATATATATATATATATATTATATATATTATTTTCATATAGTCGGACTTGAGTCCTGGGAAATGGGAAGTACAATGCCTGCACTTTAAAGGAGGGGTTTGGGTTATTGGCAGTTTGGAGGGATATGTTGTGTATCTCTATACGTATATGCTTCTAAACTGTTATATTCTGAGCACCTCTGCAAAAGCAGTGATTATGTGTGTGAGTGTGTGTGAAAGTGTTGAATGATGATGAAAGTATTTTCTTTTTGGGGATTTTCTTTCTTTTTTGGGTCACCTGCTTCGGTGGGAGACGACCGACTTGTTGAAGAAAAAAAAAAAAAAAAAAAAAAAAAAATAATATATATATATATATATATATAATATATATATATATATATATATTTAACTTAAAAGATAAATGAAATGTTACAATAAACCAACGATGATTAGCATTGCACACTCCTGAAAGTTACTTTACTAGAATTTAAAATTAACACTGGTCTCCTCTCAGAGATTCAAACTCTAGGGCACTGAATTATCTGACCAGAATAAATAAAGATATAAAAATAAAACTACACCTACCATCCGACTTACGACCTGCTCGACTTACGGCCACTCGACTTACGACCGTGTTTTTTATGCCAAATTTCTGGGAAATAAACAACAATTTGTGTTGTACACAGTGTTTATCCTAAACCTTACAATATAAAATACAGTACTAACAACATAAAAAGTAAAGTAAAACATGAAATACCAAAATAAAACAATAAAATAAAGTCATTACAAAAATGTTTTGTTGACATTCAGTAGTAAAGTTCGACTTACGACCATTTTGACTTACGGCCGGTTTCTCGGAACCGAACTCGGTCGTAAGTCGGATGGTAGGTGTATTTCTTTGCTAAGGTTACAATCTGTGTTTACATTTTATAATTTGATTGGAACAAAGAAAGCCACTATCATGCCGAGGCATTTCAGGCAGACTTAACCTAATACTTATAGTCTACTTAAGTGTAGACAGGTGAAGAGTGGTAGACTACTCCATTATTAATATGAGGTAGTACAATTCATGATACAATTATATATTTTTAAGTTTATAATTAAGTTTGTTTAATATTAATAACCATATAGTAATTTACAGCCTAGGGATTGGATTGGCAGAGAGCATGTATAGTCCCTTTATATAAAGGGAAAGGGGACAAAAGAGATTGTAAAAATTATAGAGGAATAAGTTTACTGAGTATACCAGGAAAAGTGTACAGTAGGGTTATAATTGAAAGAATTAGAGATAAGACAGAATGTAGGATTGCAGATGAGCAAGGCAGTTTCAGAGTGGGTAGGGGATGTGTAGATCAAGTGTTTACATTGAAGCATATATGTGAACAGTATTTAGATAAAGGTAGGGAAGTTTTTATTGCATTTATGGATTTAGAAAAGGCATATGATAGAGTGGATAGAGGAGCAATGTGGCAGATGTTGCAAGTACATGGAATAGGTGGTAAGTTACTAAATGCTGTAAAGAGCTTTTATGAGGATAGTGAGGCTCAAGTTAGGGTGTGTAGAAGAGAGGGAGACTACTTCCCGGTAAAAGTAGGTCTTAGACAGGGATGTGTAATGTCACCATGGTTGTTTAATATATTTATAGATGGGGTTGTAAAGGAAGTAAATGCTAGGGTGTTCGGGAGAGGGGTGGGATTAAATTTTGGGGAATCAAATTCAAAATGGGAATTGACACAGTTACTTCTTGCTGATGAAACTGTGCTTATGGGAGATTCTAAAGAAAAATTGCAAAGGTTAGTGGATGAGTTTGGGAATGTGTGTAAAGGTAGAAAGTTGAAAGTGAACATAGAAAAGAGTAAGATGATGAGGGTATCAAATGAGTTAGATAAAGAAAAATTGGATATCAAATTGGGGAGGGGGAGTATGGAAGAAGTGAATGTTTTCAGATACTTGGGAGTTGACGTGTCGGCGGATGGATTTATGAAGGATGAGGTTAATCATAGAATTGATGAGGAAAAAAAGATGAGTGGTGCGTTGAGGTATATGTGGAGTCAAAAAACGTTATCTATGGAGGCAAAGAAGGGAATGTATGAAAGTATAGTAGTACCAACACTCTTATATGGATGTGAAGCTTGGGTGGTAAATGCAGCAGCGAGGAGATGGTTGGAGGCAGTGGAGATGTCCTGTCTAAGGGCAATGTGTGGTGTAAATATTACGCAGAAAATTCGGAGTGTGGAAATTAGGAAAAGGTGTGGAGTTAATAAAAGTATTAGTCAGAGGGCAGAAGAGGGGTTGTTGAGGTGGTTTGGTCATTTAGAGAAAATGGATCAAAGTAGAATGACATGGAAAGCATATAAATCTATAGGGGAAGGAAGGCGGGGTAGGGGTCATCCTTGAAAGGGTTGGAGAGAGGGGGTAAAGGAGGTTTTGTGGGCGAGGGGCTTGGACTTCCAGCAAGCGTGCGTGAGCGTGTTAGATAGGAGTGAATGGAGACGAATGGTACTTGGGACCTGACGATCTGTTGGAGTGTGAGCAGGGTAATATTTAGCGAAGGGATTCAGGGAAACCGGTTATTTTCATATAGTCGGACTTGAGTTCTGGAAATGGAAAGTACAATGCCTGCACTTTAAAGAAGGGGTTTGGGATATTGGCAGTTTGGAGGGATATGTTGTATCTTTATACGTACATGCTTCTAAACTGTTGTATTCTGAGCACCTCTGCAAAAACAGTGATAATGTGTGAGTGTGGTGAAAGTGTTGAATGATGATGAAAGTATTTTCTTTTTGGGGATTTTCTTTCTTTTTTGGGTCACCCTACCTCAGTGGGAGACGGCCGACTTGTTGAAAAAAAAAAAAATATGATATTAAAAGCATCCTCACCTGACAGAAGCAGCTTCCATGTCAATCACTGCAGAAAGGAGGAGAGAGATCAATCTGGTGATCTCGGATCCAGAGAACTCCTAGTAAAATGTATATTAATGAAAGTTTCAAAATACTACCCCTACATTAAATAGGCAAACAATACATTAGACAAACTTACATAAATAGCTAAAACATTTTAAAATTAAATGCTCTTGATATTTTACTAATATGATGAAAGAATTGAGATAAAAATTATAAAATTTTCATTAGGATTTTAACCCTTTGACTGTTTACGCCGTATAAATACGTCTTACGAGCCACTGTTTCTGACGTATATACACTCAATAATTCTAGCGGCTTCAAATCAAGTGTGAGAAAGCCGGTAGGCCCACATGTGAGAGAATGGGTCTGTGTGGTCTGTGTGCACCACATAAAAAAAATCCTGCAGCACACAGTGCGTAATGAGAAAAAAAACAACTCTGATCATTTTTTTTTGGATTAAAACGCCAACTTTGAGGTGTATTTTCGTATAGTATTTATCGTTGTATTTGCGATTTCATGGTCTAAGGTGATAAAATGGAAAACATATTACAGAAATAGAGATGGTTTTCATTACTTTGACGATGAAAACGACCTTGAAACTGAGCTCAAAGTAGCGGAAATGTTCGATTTTTACCAATGTTCAGGAGTAAACAAATCACACCACACGTCCAATACACGTCAACTGGGGAGTCTAATATTCTTTCACTAGTGCACTGATATTATTTATACCATTTTTACAATAATGCAATAGTCTGCATAACAGTAAATTTTGTATTTTTTTGTATGAATAAAAAATCAAAATAGAAAGCAATAATAATATAAGAGGGGCCTAGAGATGTGACTAATGAACAGAGGATATGTTATTTTAGTGCCAAGAATGTCTACCTTGTTTATTCCGGACCCTATTTTGAAATTGGCATCTTTTTTATTTTGCGTGAAATTGGCCAAATTGCCAATTTCTGACCACCATATTGGGTAGTCCAAATTAGTAAATGGGAGGTTTCTTGTACTTAGCTGATAGATAAAATGGAGTTCTAAAGAAATAGCTATGAGTTTGGTCAACTGGAACAATGGAATTGGCTGAAAATAGGGCTCAAAGTCGGCGAAATCGCCGATACGCATATGTCGCCGAGACTGCTAACTTTGCGGGAGCGTAATTCCATGAGTTTTTGACCAAATTTCGAACTTTTGGTGTCATTACCATCGGGAAAAGATTCTCTATCATTTCATAATTAAAAATAATTTTTTTTTTTTTCAAAAATTTATCGACATAGAATGACAGTTTCAGAAAGGGGCCTGAAACTGTCATTCTATGTTGCTCAATTTTTGAAAAAAAAAATTATTTTTTCTTATGAAATGATAGAGAATCTTTTCCCGATGGTAATGACACCAAAAGTTCTAAATTTGGTTGAAAACTCATGGAATTATGCTCCTGCGAAGTTAGAGGTCTCGGCGGCATATGCGTATCGGCGATTTCGCCGACTTTGAGCCCTATTTACAGCCAATTCCATTGTTCCAGTTGACCAAACTCATCGCTATTTCTTTAGAACTCCATTTTATCTATCAGCTAAGTACAAGAAACCTCCCATTTACTAATTTGGACTACCCAATATGGTGGTCAGAAATTGGCAATTTGGCCAATTTCACGCAAACTAAAAAAGATGCCAATTTCAAAATAGGGTCCAGAATAAACAAGGTAGACATTCGTGGCACTAAAATAACATATGCTCTGTTCATTAGTCACATCTCTAGGCCCCTCTTATATTATTATTGCTTTCTATTTTGATTTTTTATTCATACAAAAAAAATACAAAATTTACTGTTATGCAGACTACTGCATTATTGTAAAAATGGTATAAATAATATCAGTGCACTACTGAAAGAATATTAGACTCCCCAGTTGACGTGTATTGGACGTGTGGTGTGATTTATTTATTCCTGAACATTGGTAAAAATCGAACATTTCCGCTACTTTGAGCTCAGTTTCAAGGTCGTTTTCATCGTCAAAGTAATGAAAATCATCTCTATTTCTGTAATATGTTTTCCATTTTATCACCTAAGACCATGAAAACGCGAATACAACGATAAATATTTTACGAAAATACACCTCAAAGTCGGCGTTTTATTCCAAAAAAACGATCAGTTTTTTTTTTTCTCATTACGCAATGTGTGCTGCAGGATTTTTTTTAAGTGGTGCACACTGACCACACAGACCCATTCTCTCACATGTGGGCCTACCAGCTTTCTCCCGCTTGATTTGAAGCCGCTAGAATTATTGAGTATATATACGTCAGAAACATTGGCTCGTAAGACGTATTTATACGTCGAAAACAGTCAAAGGGTTAACATGAATCCCAACAGTATATTAAACATAACAATCACAGTACTTAACCCTTAAACTGTCCAAACAAATTTACGTTCACATACATAGTGCTCCAAAAGTAGATCTACATTTTTTTACATATTTTCATATAAAACAAAAAAAAAGTACATCAAAGTTTTATTTACACGTTTTCAAATGTAAAAAAAAAAAAAAAGAAGATCTATGTTTTTTTACATACTTTCAAATGTTGAAAAAACGTAGATCTACATTTGGACAGTTTAAGGGTTAATACAGTGTAGTGTATTATACAACCTGTTAACAGTATGCATTCTGGTCACTATAATGTTTAAAATTACCTGAAAAGGCTAATATTTTTATTACAAAAAATGTAGATTACACTTCATGATGCGCTTAACCCATGTGGGCGAGTCAATGCAATGTATGATAGAATCATGATCATCCTTCTGCTGACTGCAAAGCAATTTCCAATCAGTCCAGTTGCTCAATGCCCTTTATTTAAAGATTAATTCTAGTGTAGAATACATATCTGATTTATCACTGAAGATTTAATGCAAACACTAAGTTTATACTTAACATAAACTTGTAAAATTCTATGCCATGCTTTGTACTTAAAAAATAAACATGTAACCAAGGAAATAAGCTTTGGCTAAAATACTCACAGAATTCTCAACAGCACAGTGGACATGCTTGATCAAGCTTCCTAGGAGGACACGGTATAAAAGTCCATCAGACTGTGGATTTTTTAACCCTCTCTCCACTGCCTTCTCTGTATTACTATGAAATAAAAAAAATAAATGACAGTAAAAATCATAATCCTTTTGAGTAATGGTAAATACTGTACATTAATTTTATTGAGAATGGTACTCAAATTATTTTTTTTTGTCAGGAAGTGCATATGTGTTATGGAACACAATAGGGTAACTAAATGAGTTATCCCGTGTTTTATCCCCATGTATTTCATAACACAATTTAATGAACCTGTCTAAAAAATAAAATCCTTTCCATTTCTTTTTCCTCTTATTTATTTTCTTTCTTTTCCCCTCTTCCTATTCAGCATCAAGCCCTTCTATCTTTACCAAAAATATAAGAGAACTGTGAAGAATTTACTAAGAAAATACTTAAAGCTCCTTAGAATAAATAAGGTTACTTAAAAGCACTTACAAGCCTTAAAACTGCTTATTTCAAAACAAATTCAAACAACAAAACTTCAGAACTAAGAGTCCTGACACTAACTTAAAACCTCGAAAAGCAGAGTGAGCAAGTTACACTTCCCAAACATGTTCAATATATAGGAAGCTTTATTTTATGAGCATAAATTAGTATTTCAAGTTTAAAGTCTATTCAAGAAAACATTCTTAAGTTAATATGCATAAAACAAGATAACATAACTATATTATAAATACATTTTGCACCGTTTTACACATTTTTACATCATTTTATATTTTACTGGTTTTTCATTTAACTTGGGAGATCACATAGAGTTAGTCTTTAAATAATTATAAAAATATAAATGCTGAACATAAAAAATGTACTTCTATAAAATCAGTTAATGAATACTTACATCTTAGTTATTCTAAAGACATTTTCAAATAGTATTTCTGATGCAGAATCTACAGCCTCATTGACTAAACGTTTAGCAACCTTGACCCATTTATGCTGATTTTTCATCTGTTAATAGATTACATGAAATAATTAGCAATGACATCACTATTTTAAAGTGTCTAGGCATACAAGTGCTACTGTAATTCACTGCATCTTTACACAACTGAAGATATATTTCAAAAAAGAGCAATCACTTTCATTATTCACCAACCTGAGAGAGGATGATTAAATAAGAGTTAGGGACAAAGTAATTAAGTAAAAGCCACAGTACAGGTGCAGCCGAACTAAGATCAAGATCACTACAAAAAGAAAATGTGGCTCGAGTTATTAATATTAGAATGAAAATAATACAATAACTAATAAAATAACTGTACAAGTCTTGTATTAAAGATCCAGCATTGTCACAGTTAATACTCCAATACGAACTGTCTTAGCATGCATTCCACAACAGTCTACCCCGTTTTTGACAGTAATGACTCAAAACAATTACGTATTCTCTTGCTTGACTCAACATTCTCAGATATTCAGCTAGCATATTCCAAAATTTCATTCATCTCAAAATAAACAAAATTATTTTTCACTTCTTGTAACCCAAACACACACACCTATTACTCACTTCTTGTAACCATTTTTTATTTTTTTTTAATTAAGCATTTATATTGTACCAATCTTTTCCTGCAATTGTTCATTTACCATTACCACTATGCCTTTCTTCAACTCATTTTTAAACTTCCTCCTACTCAAATTTTCTCTTCCCTCTTAACTCGGTGTTGTTCAGTGTTAGGTTATCTATTTTCCATTCATTCATAACATCAACCAATCCTACCTAAGTCATATTATATTCTCACCTATTCAAACAAACTATCTTTAAAATTTTCTTCGTTTCATTCTTAAGTGTGTGCAGATAAGAAATCCCTTGTTCTAGGTATTTTAGTTACTTCCTATGATACACATGGTTATAAAGAAATGATTCTGTGCCAATGTCCTCAGAAAAGGGATAACATATACATGTACAGTATAATTAACACCCAACTTAACTACTTGTACACTTGACATTCATTTTACCAATAATGTCTTACTCTGCACCACTTAAAACCATGGCTAGCTTCCAGATAAATACTTACATGATTCTGGGACATATGATTTTTTAGTAGCTTCTTCAACTGCCTCACAGGTAAGCACCTGTGGCTTAACTCTCTTATTAGTTGATCCATCGTGCACGGCTGGAACTATCACCCTCAATAAAATGTTTCACATCTGTGAAATAAAAAATGTGTCATAAGGAAACCTTTCTGAATAAGACAAACAAAACTAACATTCTCATTTCAATTCTTCAAAAAGACATCAGCTAATTCTTTGCAGATAAAGCTTTGACTCTTAACTCAAAAAGTGTTTTGCATCTAGGCAAGCATTTTAAATATAATGTCCATTGTCATTGAATGAAATAAATCTGTCTCAGTATCTGTCAACACTAAAAAAAGGTCATGTGACCAGAGATTTACAAAAGTGTGAAGAGGTTTGTATTGAAGTTATAAATAGGAAAGAATTAAATTTCATTATGAAGAACTGCAAGAGAGAGATATGATTCCTACTAGTAGGTGGCTGTATTAACAAGTAAGTGCAGAACATCTACAAGATCAATTCAGTGAACTACAAGATAATGTATTTGAGCACAAATTTTTTGTTCAAAGTCATTACCCGACTTTACTGTAACCCATAAGGTTAATGCAACTTATAGTGTAGTTTCAAATTTAGGTTGGATAAGTACATGAGTGGGAGGGGTTGGATTTGAGTGGGACTTTCACATCAGAGCTTATTTCTTGGGTGTCATTGAAAATTGGGTTGGGCAAATGTTTTGTTAGTGAGATGAATTGTAAAGGACCTGCCTAGTATGGGCCAACAGGCCTCCTGCAGTGTGCCTCCTTTCTTATGTTCTTAAACATTATAGTTATTAGACCTCCCGATAATTAGGAAGGATTTTAGTCTAGTTTCACAGCTTCAGTTAATGATAGAAAAGGCTTAAATGCTGTTACTAAATTGATCTATTTAAACAGACAAGTAGAAGGTAATGAACACACATTAATTATAGACTATGAGCAAGCAGTAGATCTCTTAGAGACCTAGCAGGCAACACTCTTGCTTCACACAGTGTCCGTGGTTTGATCTCCAGCAAGGGTGGAAACAATGGGTATGTTTCCTTACACCTGCTGTCCAGTTCACCTAGCAAGCAAGTAGGTACCTGGGTGTTAGTCAACTGGTGTGGGTCACATCCTGGAGGACAAGATTGAGGACCCCAAAGGAAATAAGAAAAGACAGTCCCTCAATGATGCACCTGGGTGGCTAACCTTCCGGGGTTAAAAATCCAAACAAAAGCTTATCTCAAAATCGAACATATTTAACTTGATACACGAGTTAAGATATCTTAAGTCTCAACATAATTTTGTAGTTAAAATAAGATTTGGTGGGAATTTTAACCTGTAGGGTTTGCTACCCAGGATAACCCAAGAAAGTCAGTGTGTCATCAAGAACTGTCTTATTTCCATTGGGGCCCTTTAATTAATCTTGTCCACCCAGGATGCAACCCACACCAGTCAACTAACACCCAGGTACCTACTTACTGCTAGTGTTTACCTGGAGTTTACCTGGAGAGAGTTCTGGGGGTCAACGCCCCCGCAACCCGGTCTGTGACCAGGCCTCCTGGTGGATCAGAGCCTGATCAACCAGGCTGTTGCTGCTGGCTGCACGCAAACCAACGTATGAGCCACAGCCCGGCTGGTCAGGAACCGACTTTAGGTGCTTGTCCAGTGCCAGCTTGAAGACTGCCAGGGGTCTGTTGGTAATCCCCCTTATGTATGCTGGGAGGCAGTTGAACAGTCTCGGGCCCCTGACACTTATTGTATGGTCTTTTAACGTGCTAGTGACACCCCTGCTTTTCATTGGGGGGATGTTGCATCGTCTGCCAAGTCTTTTGCTTTCGTAGTGAGTGATTTTCGTGTGCAAGTTCGGTACTAGTCCCTCTAGGATTTTCCAGGTGTATATAATCATGTATCTCTCCCGCCTGCGTTCCAGGGAATACAGGTTCAGGAACCTCAAGCGCTCCCAGTAATTGAGGTGTTTTATCTCCGTTATGCGCGCCGTGAAGGTTCTCTGTACATTTTCTAGGTCAGCAATTTCACCTGCCTTGAAAGGTGCTGTTAGTGTGCAGCAATATTCCAGCCTAGATAGAACAAGTGACCTGAAGAGTGTCATCATGGGCTTGGCCTGCCTAGTTTTGAAGGTTCTCATTATCCATCCTGTCATTTTTCTAGCAGATGCGATTGATACAATGTTATGGTCTTTGAAGGTGAGATCCTCCGACATGATCACTCCCAGGTCTTTGACGTTGGTGTTTCGCTCTATTTTGTGGCCAGAATTTGTTTTGTACTCTGATGAAGATTTAATTTCCTCGTGTTTACCATATCTGAGTAACTGAAATTTCTCAACGTTGAACTTCATATTGTTTTCTGCAGCCCACTGAAAGATTCGGTTGATGTCCGCCTGGAGCCTTGCAGTGTCTGCAATGGAAGACACTGTCATGCAGATTCGGGTGTCATCTGCAAAGGAAGACACGGTGCTGTGGCTGATATCCTTGTCTATGTCGGATATGAGGATGAGGAACAAGATGGGAGCGAGTACTGTGCCTTGTGGAACAGAGCTTTTCACCGTAGCTGCCTCGGACTTTACTCTGTTGACGACTACTGTGTTCTGTTAGTGAGGAAATTATAGATCCATCGACCGACTTTTCCTGTTATTCCTTTAGCACGCATTTTGTGCGCTATTACGCCATGGTCACACTTGTCGAAGGCTTTTGCAAAGTCTGTATATATTACATCTGCATTCTTTTTATCTTCTAGTGCATTTAGGACCTTGTCGTAGTGATCCAATAGTTGAGACAGACAGGAGCGACCTGTTCTAAACCCATGTTGCCCTGGGTTGTGTAACTGATGGGTTTCTAGATGGGTGGTGATCTTGCTTCTTAGGACCCTTTCAAAGATTTTTATGATATGGGATGTTAGTGCTATCGGTCTGTAGTTCTTTGCTGTTGCTTTACTGCCCCCTTTGTGGAGTGGGGCTATGTCTGTTGTTTTTAGTAACTGTGGGACGACCCCGTGTCCATGCTCCCTCTCCATAGGATGGAAAAGGCTCGTGATAGGGGCTTCTTGCAGTTCTTGATGAACACGGAGTTCCATGAGTCTGGCCCTGGGGCAGAGTGCATGGGCATGTCATTTATCGCTTGTTCAAAGTCATTTGGCGTCAGGATAACATCGGATAGGCTTGTGTTAACCAAATTTTGTGGCTCTCTCATAAAAAAATTCATTTTGATCTTCGACTCTCAGTCTGGTTAGCGGCTTGCTAAAAACTGAGTCATATTGGAACTTGAGTAGCTCACTCATTTCCTTGCTGTCATCTGTGTAGGACCCATCTTGTTTAAGTAGGGGCCCAATACTGGATGTTGTTCTCGACTTTGATTTGGCATAGGAGAAGAATACTTTGGGTTTCTTTCGATTTCATTTATGGCTTTTAGTTCTTCCCGCGATTCCTGACTCCTATAAGATTCCTTTAGCTTGAGTTCGATGCTTGCTATTTCTCTGACCAGTGTCTCCCTACGCATTTCAGATATATTGACCTCTTTTAGCCGCTCTGTTTTTCTTTTCCGTCGCCTGTAAAGGGAGCGCCTGTCTCTTTCTATTTTACATCTACTCCTCCTTTTTCTTAGAGGAATAAGCCTTGTGCATACATCGAGTGCCACCAAGTTAATCTGTTCTAGGCATACGTTGGGGTCTGTGTTGCTTAGTATATCTTCCCAGCTTATATCGGTTAGGACTTGGTTTACTTGGTCCCACTTTATGTTTTTGTTATTGAAGTTGAATTTGGTGAATGCTCCCTCGTGACTAGTCTCATTATGTCGGTCTGGGGCTCCACGCATACATGTCTGAACCTCAATTATGTTGTGATCTGAGTATATTGTTTTTGATATGGTGACATTTCTTATCAGATCATCATTGTTAGTGAAGATGAGGTCTAGTGTAAGGAAACATGCCCAACATTTCCACCCATACCGGAGATTGAATCAGGGACATTCTGTGCCTGTGATCCCAACCTGGCCACTGAAGACTATGTATAATAATGATTAACAGTAGCTGATTAGGTTCCATGTAATATGCATTTTACAAGGGAAAATTAATTACAAAACTGTAGAGTGGAAATCTAAGATTATCATAAAGGGTATTTCTCTAGTTCTGAGATTAGAGTAGGGTTACAAGAATTAGTACAACTTAGTACCAGTACTAATCCTGATAAAGATAATGAACCTGCAATTACTAGTGCTAAATTTGCTTCAAAAATCACTGAATGTGGTGTAGCTGAAGCTACCTTACCTGTAGCTTATGTGATACTACATGGAACAAGACAAAGAAACACAGTTAATACCTTGTTCAATCAAGGCTCTCAAAAGACCTTTGTTAAATGGTCAAGGGTTTAAAGAGCCTAAATGAAACCTGTCTACATGAGAGGAAACTCATAATGACATTTAGGTCTATCCCTGACCACTGTTAAGATGTAGTGATAATGACAGTAATAATGACTATTTCAAATTAATGTACAAACATATGCAATAATTTGAAAGCTCCCAGTATGTGAAGGATGGACCAAAACACTAATATGCTGGCTGTTCTAACTGACGGTTATTTGTAATGGACTCTAGCCCTCAGGAAAGGTTCCTTGATGTTGGTGAGGGGCTCTTGATTTAGGGAATTGGATCTGTGCTCCAGTTCCCCGAATTAAACCTGAATGCCTTCCACATCCCCCCCAGGCGCTGTATAATCCTACGGGTTTAGCGCTTCCCCTTGATCATAATAATAATAATGTAATTGACTCTAGACAATGTATTGTGACTTTTTATTCTCTACTTGGATTGACAAAGCTCCCAGAGGTGAAACATTTCTTAATAAATGTTCTAATGTTGCACAAACATCTTAGTTGCATTATGTGGGTACATATGTGCCAAAGTTCCTGTTAACTCCGTGTTATCATTATCTTATCACATCTGGAAATATTAAAACAAAAATTGTGATCTTTTCTCAAAGTTCTTGACAGAAGGTTTTCAAAAATCCGAAAATAAATAAAAAAAAATTAACCAATACAAATATATTATAAAGCATGAATGTAATATTTACATATTGTCTATGGATAATATTCTAAATATTAATAGTTTAAAAAGCCAATGCAAATAAACAACGAATTATGACACGAGGTTCAAAATATTCAACAGCTGCAGCTAAAACGTTTTACAATAACCAAAAAGTGTGGTAATCTATATAACATGACCGTCTCACCACAAAATATGCAAGATAATGTCTTAAAATAGCCACAGAAACCATATTTAAAAACCTCAATTAAAGAGGTGTTGAAGTTGCAACAGTTCCATCACCTCTGTGTTAAAGGCGCAAATCTCTAAATACACACTATGTGTTACAAAAGATGGAGCCAAATATGCATCATTAACCAAGCAATGTGTGTGGAGGGAACATAGAGATGTAAGTCCCTCGCAAAATAACTAAAAATGACAAAAACTGGAAGTGAGTGTTCTCACAAGTGGTGTAAACAGCGCCTTGCCGCCTCTGGAGACTTACAGTGGTACCAATACTCTCCTTCCCTCACAACCCTCTTAAAATTATTTAAAAACCCTAATTAAAACCATTTTTATTCTTGTTATACATTAAATAGAGTAACTAAATAGTGATACTTAGTTTGAATTATCTCTTTAATACATTTAAGCTTGTCCCTGTTAGTTTAAAACAAGTTTGATGTGATGTTCTGGTTGAGAATAACAGCTGATCCCAAAACACGTTTTAATGTATTTTAGATTAAGAGAGAAAACCAAAATAAACAATTATGTAAACTTCATTTAGTCTATATATAAAGATGATTTTTATAGATTTGCTGCTTTCAATCTATAGCAGCTACAGTAGGTGGTCAGACCTCAAATAAAGCCAGCCCGTAATGCTATGCATATAAGTGGCTTTGGCATGCTGCTCTTACCTATATTTTTTTTGTACCTCTGTATGTATGCTAAAATTTCTAAATAAATAAATAAATAAATACAGCAATTAAGAATCGGAAGTGATAGTCTGAACATGCCAAAGCCAGTCCCAGTATAAGCCAGTTCAAGAAGCTAGTTAAAAGCTTCTTAATTAATGAATGAAATTACAGAAAAAAAAGAGAATGATTTCCTGTAGTACAGTTAACATTGGTGTTCCTGATACTGTAAGTCGATCCTCGTTATTATTCTTGTAAATAACCCAGTACACTATTTTTAATTGCAATTCTTTTTGCTGTAAGTGATTTTTACGCAGTTGAATTATTTAGCTGTTTTAATTGATCAAGTTATACTTATTGCTGATATATTTTGTGTTTTATAGCTAAACTTTAAATAATAAGATATTACAGGAACCCCAGTGGAAATAAGTGAGTTTGACTTTTTTTTTTTTTTTTTTTTTTTGGGGGGGGGGGGGTTTATCCAAGGTAATCTACACGTGTACTATATATACTTGCAGGGTGTTTCGGGGGGGGGTCACCCCCTCCCCCCCGCGGCTCGGTCCATGATCAGGCCTCGTGGTGGATCAGGGCCTGATCAACCAGGTCGTTACTGCTGGTCGCACGCCCGGCTAATTTAGGTGCCTGTCCAGCTCCCTCTAAATTTACATAATCTGCACTTATGTATTCCTCAAAGAAGGTTCCTTGATGCTGGTGAGGGGCTCTTGATCTAAGGAATTGGGTCTGTTCTCCGGTTCCCTAAATTTAACCTGAATACCTTCCACATCCCCGGCCCAGGCGCTGTATAATCCTACGGGTTTAGCGCTTCCCCGTTAATTATAATAATAATAATAATAATAATAATAATAATAATAATAATAATAATAATAATAATAATAATAATAATAATAATGGACTTATGTGTACCTGTACCTAAATAAACATACCTACTTACACTGGCCTTCTGCCACCAAAGTTGTCATTTCTAAATGCCAACAAAACATTCATTCCTGAAGACGAATTCCTTTCAGTATTAGCCTTAATTTTTCTCCTTTTTTTTTTTCTTGCTCCTACTTTTCGATTTTATTTCACTCACAACTCCAGAACCTCTCGTCCGATCAGATTCAAATTATGAACGAGACCCAGATTCTTGGAATTATTATTATTATTATAATCAAGGGGGAAGCGCTAAACCCGGAGGATTATACAGCGCCTGGGGGGGGGATATGTGGAAGGCATTCAGGCTTAATTCGGGGAACTGGAGCACAGATCCAATTCCCTAAATCAAGAGCCCCTCACCAACATCAAGGAACCTTCCTTGAGGGGTGATTCTTGGAAGACTTGGCATGTGATTCATGTTAAAGTTAATTTGAACTTTCGAGGATGGAGGGTGAAACCCAAGTATGTAGGTGGAGGGTGAAACCCAAGTATGTAGGTGGAGGGTGAAACCCAAGTATGTAGGTGGAGGTAAAACCCCAAAGTATGTAGGTGGAGGGTGAAACCCAAGTATGTAGGTGGAGGGTGAAACCCAAGTATGTAGGTGGAGGGTGAAACCCAAGTATGTAGGTGGAGGGTGAAACCCAAGTATGTAGGTGGAGGGTGAAACCCAAGTATGTAGGTGGAGGGTAAAACCCCCAAGTATGTAGGTGGGAGGGTGAAACCCAAGTATGCAGGTGGAGGGGGGAAACCCAAGTATGTAGGTGGAGGGTAAAAACCCCAAAGTATGTAGGTGGGGGGTGAAACCCAAGTATGTAGGTGGAGGGTGAAACCCAAGTATGTAGGTGGAGGGTGAAACCCAAGTATGTAGGTGGAGAGTGAAACCCAAGTATGTAGGTGGAGGGTGAAACCCAAGTATGTAGGTGGAGGGTGAAACCCAAGTATGTGGGGGGGGGAGGGTGAAACCAAGTATGCAGGTGGAGAGTGAAACCCAAGTATGTAGGTGGAGAGTGAAACCCAAGTATGTAGGTGGAGAGTGAAACCCAAGTATGTAGGTGGAGAGTGAAACCCAAGTATGCGGGGTGGAGAGTGAAACCCAAGTATGCAGGTGGAGAGGAAAACCCAATTTATGTAGGGTGGAGAGTGAAACCCAAGTATGCAGGTGGAGAGTGAAACCCAAGTATGTAGGTGGAGAGTGAAACCCAAGTATGCAGGTGGAGAGTGAAACCCAAGTATGCAGGTGGAGAGTGAAACCCAAGTATGCAGGTGGAGAGTGAAACCCAAGTATGTAGGTGGAGGGTGAAACCCAAGTATGTAGGTGGAGAGTTGATCATTTTATGTGTAAAACTGTGACATCTTGAGCCCAATTTAATCATAACAATAAAAATACATGTGCCTATATCTCCTGAATGGACTCAGTATTGGTTTAGAAAGACACGTAAGCAAACACTGGGACCTTGATCGCTTCTAACCTGGACTCAGACTGGACTGGACTGGACTCAGTATTCTCCTGAATGGTCTTCTGAATGGATTCAGTATTCTCCTGAATGGTCTTCTGAATGGATTCAGTATTCTCCTGAATGATCTTCTGAATGGATTCAGTATTCTCCTGAATGGTCTTCTGAGTGGATTCAGTATTCTCCTGAATGGTCTTCTGAATGGATTCAGTATTCTCCTGAATGGTCTTCTGAGTGGATTCAACATCTTATGACCAGGATATCATCCATTTGGATTAGTTTGTATAGGGGAAGCGATGAAATTTTTCTCAAATAGAAAAAAATCCGAAGCACAAAATCACTTTTTTTCCCTTAAGAGGATCGTAGAAAATTCTAAATCTTAATGCTCCTATCATCAATACTTTTTTTTTTCTGGCCCGAAGCTGAACTGGCAGAGGTTAAGAATATTTTGTGTAGTGGTAAAGGCATATATTCCATTATACCTGGAGAGGGTTTCGGGGTCATCGCCCCTCCCCCCGCGGCCCGGTCTGAGACCAGGCCTTGTGGTGGATCAGGGTCTGATCAATCAGGCTGTTACTGTTGGCCGCACGCAAACTGACGTACGAACCACAGCCCGGCTGGTCAGGTACTGACTTGGAGTCTTGCAGTGTCTTCGATGGATGACACTGTCATGGCAATTCGGGTGTCATCCGCAAAGGAAGGTCCGGAGCTATGATATATCTTTTTAAAGATTTTAGAAAATAATGGTACGTTAGAGATTGGTGTATTATTGTTGATTACAGTAAGGTTGTATTTGTGGATTGGGGTAACACGAACTAACAATAACTAACATTTACCTGGAGGGTGCATAAGGGCCTGATCAACAAGTTTGTTACTGCTAGTCGCACACAAACCAACGTACGAACCACACCCAAGTTAGTCGGGAACTATCGGTGGCCCGGTGGCCAAAGCTCCCGCTTCACAAAAGGAGGGCCCGGGTTCGATTCCCGGCGGGCGGAAACATTTCGACACGTTTCCTTACACCTGTTGTCCTGTTCACCTAGCAGCAAATAGGTACCTGGGTGTTAGTCGACTGGTGTGGGTCGCATCCTGGGGGACAAGATTAAGGACCCCAATGGAAATAAGTTAGACAGTCCTCGATGACGCACTGACTTTCTTGGGTTATCCTGGGTGGCTAACCCTCCGGGGTTAAAAATACGAACGAAATCTTATCTCTAGGTGACTATCCAGCTTCTTGTTATAATCATAACAATAAGTATAACCATAATCAAAATCATAACCATAATTTTGAAAGGGATGGTAAGCCAGCGGAAAGCCTCGGTCAGATGACCAAAAACTCCAGCTCCGGGTCATCATGTGACTTAGACCCGCGTCAGGAAACACTTGTTCTGATCCTGACAAACCTTACCTAACCTAACGAGCAAAAGCATCAAGTAGAGCTCATAGAGCTGAAGTGAAGTTATTAATCATGGGTGATTTCAACCACGAAGAAACATTGGAAGAGCTGGGATCCACAAGTGGGAATGGAAACATGAAGAACTAGGATGACGGAGGTAGTTAGGGAAAACTTTTATTAAATCGTTGAATCTCTCTTCTAGCTTCCTCTAACTCTGCCTTAACCTGAAGATACAGTTGCTTAAAGTTGAGGGAAGCCATCTTCACAATCTCAGCCAAGAACAGAGAGCTCACTAGGCACGTTTTCACACGCCACATGATACAGATCACCTCACCACTCGGCCTGCTGGCCCTGATGAACGAGGTACCGGTTGAGTGAAATTTTCTGAAACATGATTGACAACTATGCCAAATGCTTTTGTTATTAAAATAAATAACTGCTTGAAAATATACTACTCTCTCCAGAATTTTAGACATCATGTTGAGTATACTAACAAGTCTATAACTGCTTACTTCAACATATTTTTCTTGCTCGTTGTCCGATGCGTCTCTCCTACCGGATTGTACATTCTGTCCATTCATCTCACTTCCTCTCATATTTTAATTATTTTGCATATATTAGGATTGAATTCAAGTAGTTACTTTGATCATGTCCTGGAGGGATTGGTACCAAACCTGCACACGAAAATCACTCCATACGAAAGCAAAAGACTCGGCAGGAGATGCAACATTCCCCCGATGAAA